CTCCGGCCGAAGCTCCAAATAAACCGTCAGTGTTTGCCATCAAAGCTCCATCTCTCCTCGTGTCTCTCTGAGTCCTGACTCCATCAAAGCTCCAGCTCTCCTCGTGTCTCTCTCTGAGTCCTGACTCCATCAAAGCTCCAGCTCTCCTCGTGTCTCTCTGAGTCCTGACTCCATCAAAGCTCCAGCTCTCCTCGTGTCTCTCTCTGAGTCCTGACTCCATCAAAGCTCCAGCTCTCCTCGTGTCTCTCTGAGTCCTGACTCCATCAAAGCTCCAGCTCTCCTCGTGTCTCTCTGAGTCCTGACTCCATCAAAGCTCCATCTCTCCTCGTGTCTCTCTGAGTCCTGACTCCATCAAAGCTCCAGCTCTCCTCGTGTCTCTCTGAGTCCTGACTCCATCAAAGCTCCAGCTCTCCTCGTGTCTCTCTGAGTCCTGACTCCATCAAAGCTCCAGCTCTCCTCGTGTCTCTCTGAGTCCTGACTCCATCAAAGCTCCAGCTCTCCTCGTGTCTCTCTGAGTCCTGTCTCCATCAAAGCTCCAGCTCTCCTCGTGTCTCTCTGAGTCCTGACTCCATCAAAGCTCCAGCTCTCCTCGTGTCTCTCTGAGTCCTGACTCCATCAAAGCTCCAGCTCTCCTCGTGTCTCTCTTGCCCCTTTCACACCGGCGCTTTTCCAGCTCCTGCTGGGAGCTAGAGCCTGAAAAGCGCCGTTTTTTCCTGTTCACACCGCAGCGGCGGCGCGTCATAGCTCCGGAATGCGGTTCACTTCCAGCTCCAAAAAGTTGTCGGTCCAGAGGCAAGAGCTTTGGAGCTATGACGCGGCGTCGCTTACGTCGAGGCGTGCAGGAAACCTTACTTTGACCATCCGTTCGCTGTTATTGATCATTGTGGAGAGCAGGCAGACGTTTTGTTTGTTATTATAGCAGCTATCGGATGGAATCAATACATGGGCTGTACAGGTTGTCATGTCCGACTATCACAAGTAGAATCATAATGAAAAATACGCCGGTAAAATGTGCCTGGAGAAAACGGCTTAGCAAGTAGTCAGTTTAGCTTCGGTTGCTATGCTAACATCACCCATGTTATACCAGAGAAACTTTCATAACAGCGTTGTGATGCCAAACAGCGTCAATTCAGACTGACACACATTCACTTAAGGGTAACTGGGGATATGTATCAGCTGCTTGTGTGACAGTCAGACAGTGAATACTTTAGAGCCGCTAACGGGAGAATAAACTCCCGTTGAAGAGCAGCCAGCACTGTAGCGGTCGGTAAATGCCGCTGAAACACATTAATAAACAATGAACCACGGCACTCTGGAGAAAAGTATAAGGGTGGAGAAGCCGTTATTTAATTTAATCTGGCTTCGTATGATTAAAAGCAACACGATCGTCGACCCGACGCAGTCCCCGGCCCGTTGTTGTTGTGGGAGAAAATCTCTCGGCAGCTCTGGGCGGTGTGAACAGAGCGGGAGCTGAAAAGGGAAACCGGAGCTGAACCAGAAAAGCTCTCGCTAGGAGCTAGAAAGGGAAAAGCGCTGGTGTGAAAGCCGCAACAGAGTCCTGACTCCATCAAAGCTCCAGCTCTCCTCGTGTCTCTCTGAGTCCTGACTCCATCAAAGCTCCAGCTCTCCTCGTGTCTCTCTGAGTCCTGACTCCATCAAAGCTCCAGCTCTCCTCGTGTCTCTCTGAGTCCTGTCTCCATCAAAGCTCCAGCTCTCATTGTGTCTCTTTGAGTCCTGACTCCATCAAAGCTCCAGCTCTCCTCGTGTCTCTCTGAGTCCTGACTCCATCAAAGCTCCAGCTCTCCTCGTGTCTCTCTGAGTCCTGACTCCATCAAAGCTCCATCTCTCCTCGTGTCTCTCTGAGTCCTGACTCCATCAAAGCTCCAGCTCTCCTCGTGTCTCTCTGAGTCCTGACTCCATCAAAGCTCCAGCTCTCTTCGTGTCTCTCTGAGTCCTGACTCCATCAAAGCTCCAGCTCTCCTCGTGTCTCTCTCTGAGTCCTGACTCCATCAAAGCTCCATCTCTCCTCGTGTCTCTCTGAGTCCTGACTCCATCAAAGCTCCAGCTCTCCTCGTGTCTCTCTGAGTCCTGACTCCAACAAAGCTCCAGCTCTCCTCGTGTCTCTCTGAGTCCTGACTCCATCAAAGCTCCAGCTCTCCACGTGTCTCTCTCTGAGTCCTGACTCCATCAAAGCTCTAGCTCTCCTCGTGTCTCTCTGAGTCCTGACTCCATCAAAGCTCCAGCTCTCCTCAAGTCTCTCTGAGTCCTGACTCCATCAAAGCTCCAGCTCTCCTCGTGTCTCTCTGAGTCCTGACTCCATCAAAGCTCCAGCTCTCATTGTGTCTCTTTGAGTCCTGACTCCATCAAAGCTCCAGCTCTCCTCGTGTCTCTCTGAGTCCTGACTCCATCAAAGCTCCAGCTCTCCTCGTGTCTCTCTGAGTCCTGACTCCATCAAAGCTCCATCTCTCCTCGTGTCTCTCTGAGTCCTGACTCCATCAAAGCTCCAGCTCTCCTCGTGTCTCTCTGAGTCCTGACTCCATCAAAGCTCCAGCTCTCTTCGTGTCTCTCTGAGTCCTGACTCCATCAAAGCTCCAGCTCTCCTCGTGTCTCTCTCTGAGTCCTGACTCCATCAAAGCTCCATCTCTCCTCGTGTCTCTCTGAGTCCTGACTCCATCAAAGCTCCAGCTCTCCTCGTGTCTCTCTGAGTCCTGACTCCATCAAAGCTCCAGCTCTCCTCGTGTCTCTCTGAGTCCTGACTCCATCAAAGCTCCAGCTCTCCACGTGTCTCTCTCTGAGTCCTGACTCCATCAAAGCTCCAGCTCTCCTCGTGTCTCTCTGAGTCCTGACTCCATCAAAGCTCCAGCTCTCCTCGTGTCTCTCTGAGTCCTGACTCCATCAAAGCTCCATCTCTCCTCGTGTCTCTCTGAGTCCTGACTCCATCAAAGCTCCAGCTCTCCTCGTGTCTCTCTGAGTCCTGACTCCATCAAAGCTCCAGCTCTCCTCGTGTCTCTCTGAGTCCTGACTCCATCAAAGCTCCAGCTCTCTTCGTGTCTCTCTGAGTCCTGACTCCATCAAAGCTCCAGCTCTCCTCGTGTCTCTCTGAGTCCTGACTCCATCAAAGCTCCAGCTCTCCTCAAGTCTCTCTGAGTCCTGACTCCATCAAAGCTCCAGCTCTCCTCGTGTCTCTCTGAGTCCTGACTCCATCAAAGTTCCAGCTCTCATTGTGTCTCTTTGAGTCCTGACTCCATCAAAGCTCCAGCTCTCCTCGTGTCTCTCTGAGTCCTGACTCCATCAAAGCTCCAGCTCTCCTCGTGTCTCTCTGAGTCCTGACTCCATCAAAGCTCCAGCTCTCCTCGTGTCTCTCTGAGTCCTGACTCCATCAAAGCTCCATCTCTCCTCGTGTCTCTCTGAGTCCTGACTCCATCAAAGCTCCAGCTCTCCTCGTGTCTCTCTGAGTCCTGACTCCATCAAAGCTCCAGCTCTCTTCGGTTCTCTCTGAGTCCTGACTCCATCAAAGCTCCAGCTCTCCTCGTGTCTCTCTCTGAGTCCTGACTCCATCAAAGCTCCATCTCTCCTCGTGTCTCTGTGAGTCCTGACTCCATCAAAGCTCCAGCTCTCCTCGTGTCTCTCTGAGTCCTGACTCCATCAAAGCTCCAGCTCTCCACGTGTCTCTCTCTGAGTCCTGACTCCATCAAAGCTCCAGCTCTCCTCGTGTCTCTCTGAGTCCTGACTCCATCAAAGCTCCAGCTCTCCTCGTGTCTCTCTGAGTCCTGACTCCATCAAAGCTCCAGCTCTCCTCGTGTCTCTCTGAGTCCTGACTCCATCAAAGCTCCAGCTCTCCTCAAGTCTCTCTGAGTCCTGACTCCATAAAGCTCCAGCTCTCCTCGTGTCTCTCTTTGAGTCCTGACTCCATCAAAGCTCCATCTCTCCTCGTGTCTCTCTGAGTCCTGTCTCCATCAAAGCTCCAGCTCTCCTCGTGTCTCTCTGAGTCCTGACTCCATCAAAGCTCCAGCTCTCCTCGTGTCTCTCTGAGTCCTGACTCCATCAAAGCTCCATCTCTCCTTGTGTCTCTCTGAGTCCTGACTCCATCAAAGCTCCATCTCTCCTCATGTCTCTCTCTGAGTCCTGACTCCATCAAAGCTCCAGCTCTCCTCGTGTCTCTCTGAGTCCTGACTCCATCAAAGCTCCAGCTCTCCTCGTGTCTCTCTCTGAGTCCTGACTCCATCAAAGCTCCAGCTCTCCTCGTGTCTCTCTGAGTCCTGACTCCATCAAAGCTCCAGCTCTCCTCGTGTCTCTCTGAGTCCTGACTCCATCAAAGCTCCAGCTCTCCTCGTGTCTCTCTGAGACCTGACTCCATCAAAGCTCCAGCTCTCCTCGTGTCTCTCTGAGTCCTGACTCCATCAAAGCTCCAGCTCTCCTCGTGTCTCTCTGAGTCCTGACTCCATCAAAGCTCCAGCTCTCCTCGTGTCTCTCTGAGTCCTGACTCCATCAGAGCTCCAGCTCTCCTCGTGTCTCTCTGAGTCCTGACTCCATCAAAGCTCCAGCTCTCCTCGTGTCTCTCTGAGTCCTGTCTCCTTCAGAAGTTTCCCCCACAGATGTGTAAATTACCCAAGTATGTACTTAAATACAATGTTGAGGTACTTGTACTTCACTTGAGTATTTCCCTTTACCTTATACTTTTACTTTACTACAGTAGTAGTAGTTTACTTTTAACTCGACTACGTATATGTTTAAACCTGTAGGTCGAGCAGTGAACCAAGTTATTGAAATACTCATTTACCAGCTGACATCAATAATTAAAATACAAACATTTCATATTCTTTCAGGATGTTGTCAGGA